TTACTTATTAGTTCTCTGTAAATTTAGGCAAACTATCTAAACGTTTTCAGTCTCAACTCCCTCATTTGTAAAAACAGTAATAATGTTTCACATCACCTACAGTCATTATGAGCCCCATGCACTTGACAAAGAGCACTCAGTATATATAAGACCTTACTATTACCAAAGTAGCAAATGACATAATCATTGATGTCTATAAAATTGAACATTTTTTTTCTTCCGGTACCAGGAATCGAACTCACAACCTTGTGCTTGCCAGGCAGGTGCTTTGCCGCTGAGCTAAATCCCCAGCCCCTTAAACATTTTTTTTATCATTTGTTTTACTTAAAATTCTCATTTAGACACATTTGTGGAGAACAGCCCATTACATTTATAATATACAAAGAACTTTGTTAAGCCTTTTCTTAATTAAAAAGTTAACACTATAAGCCCATGTACAGATGGATTTTTGAAAATTTTGCTATGACACATTTAACTTAGTTCTCTCTTTTCTATTCATAGACAAAGTTATTTTTAATTTAATTTAATTTTCTATTTTATGGAGAAAAGTAAAACAAAATTTCACAACATAATAAGAGAATAGCAATAATTGAAACATTACGTATTGTTATCTTTAAAGTAGTTACTCAGGGTACAAGAGATAGGCATTAAAAATTCTCCAATCATTGCAGCAGTTCTTGGTAGAACAGAGAAATGCATTTCTTCAAGTGGGAAATACCCCTAATTCTCAGTCAGTCCTCCGCATGACACAGTGTTTGCAATTTTCAGTGGCTTTCGAGTCATAGAATGAGCTCAGTTTATTCTTGGGACGGGCCTTTAGATTTCACAAACACCACTGCTCCAGGAAATGATTTTAATCATATCTCAATCCTTTGCAGACTGTTTGGATAGTGATTACATCATCCACACTTGAACATCCTGTATGTAAAACGAGAGCTCAGACACGGAATGGTCCTCTCCCACTTCACTGAAAACAGAACCCAGCCTTCCTTACAGTCAGAGGGCTACTCTGGTGCTCTGCTTGGAGGTCATCTTGCTTTTAAAATTATCCAGCTTACTTGAAACTGTTAAAAAGACTCAAGAATTATCAAAAAGATGTCACCGCTATTGCGGGAGAAGTTTACAGTGTAATAAACATTTAATAAATAAAACCAGTAAAAGAGTCCAGATTATGTTGTTAAAATCCAGTAGGTCCTGACGGAAAATAGGCTTGTAAACTGAGTGAGTATTCAAAGGGAAGGGATGGGCTGAACGATGGAGTCAGGGCTCAAAAAGGCAAATTATTAAAAAAGTCAAAGTAAGTACAAGCGAAAGGCAGCAAAAATCAACTTCAGAACAAGGAATAAGAGCATAAAAAGGGATACGTGTCAGTGCGTGTGTACACACGCACTAGCCTTTTCACATGTGCACGCGTGTGCTCCTTGATACGCTCAAGGGGAAAGACTCAGTTTGTAGAAGGAATTCAGAGCAACACCAAGTTCTATGCCCCAAGTTAACTTGATTAGTATCCGAAGGCAATTGAATGTTTAAACAGTCTCTGCATATCTGCTACTTCCATAACGTCTGTGCGACTCTCATAAATTAGGAGTGGAGAAGGGCACAGTGCCAATTGTCAAAACAAATAGCAAATCTGGATTCCAAGTTATTTTCCTTGAGAGCAGTGAAAGCTGCCTGTCCCTACTGTGGCCCACTCTGGAACCGGTGGGGCCTCGCCCACTCACTTGGATCCCGCACTCAGCTCTGCCTGCTGTCGCACACTGGCAGGATGGGGCGAATGACACAAGGAAACCTTTTCCCTCTAATGCCCCAGCCCTCGGAAAGAGAAAATGAGCATGGCATCAAGTCCATGTGGACAGAGACACTAAATGAACACCAGCACCGTTAATTACAAGGAGGTGACACTCAATTACACCTTCAGGACTGTTTGTGGCTTCCTACTCTACATAGAAATCTTCCCCAACGACAACTCCATGCTCCTGAAAGTCAAGGTTATGCTTTGTGCTCTGCACCTCACGGAGTCCTGGTCCACAGTGAGTTAGACTACACTCATAGCTTGGTCTCTTCTGTTTCTTCGAAAGAGCGTCAATGAGCTCATCACCAGATTTGTCCTCATTCCTTCCTGCTTCTCATCTCCAAGTGGTTCAGCTCCCCCAGGACAGACAGGTGGTCTCCCTTCTCCTCCTTGTGTGCTTAGGAAGCACCTACCAGCTGGTGGGTAGATACAGGGTGGAGGAAGGGCCTTGGACCTAAACCTAATGTCACTTCTTATCAGAAAAGCTCCACACTAAAATGCAGAGCACTACCCTGGTCAGTAACAGAATACAGTCGAGTCTGACAATAAGCACTGTCTTGCATTTACATATCTCTCAGGGAAACTCCAAGCAGGCCAATGTGGTTTTAGAAATGCCTGGGCTCCTTGGTCTTGACACCAGCCTGTTATGTTAGCCTCAGACTCTCACTATGAACTGCTCACAGACTTGCCTTTTCACAAGGTCTTGAATGCTTACAGATAAACCTGGAGAACAAAAGGACAAATGGCTCTACCTCTTCCTTTCCCAGGACTCTACCTGACAGGTTCCTGCCAAGACTTTGAACCTTTAAGTCTTACTCAACTTTCAGGCAGAAATTGGCCAGTAGTTGAGTTTCCCTATGGCTACGATATTGCCTATCAGCTCTAACAAATACTATCAAGAGCAAATTATTTGGAGTAGGACTTTCATTCAGCCATCCAACAAATAATTATGATCCCCTATTTAGGGCCAGATAACACTGGGGACTTCGGGGACACATCTGCAAATAAAACAGTGTCCTGATACTCAGAGATGAGGATAGAAGACACATAATGAACATATGAACAAAGATCATTTCAAAGTCACAACAAGGAACATAAAAGACACAGTTTAGGGAGCACAAGACACAAGGAGAAAGGGTAGAAGAATATGTAGCATGGAAGGCTGGCACTGGGTCATGAAGGATCCTTTAAGAAATTTTAAGTTATTCTAAATAAAATGAAAAGCCACAGAAGGGTTTATTCTACAGATTAAGTCACACCAGCCATAGAAAGGAGAGTAAAATAAAGGCAGGCAGGAGGGAAGCAATAGGTTGAGAAGCTACTCCAATGATAACTGCAAAAACGAGCTAGTGTTGGGTCCCATTAGGATGGAAGCAGGAGAGAGGGTAGAGGAAGGGGCAGATATCATACATATTTTAGTGAGGAATCAACAGAATTGCCTTTTGGTTGAGACACAAGAGAGTAGAAAGAGAAAGGTCAAGGCTTTTTGGTATCATTAGCTGGGGCAGAAAACTGACTATTTGTATTCTCTCAGTTAAGTTTGGTATGTCAGTTAGGCATTAAGGTGGAGTTTTTTTTGTTTTTTTTTTTGTTTTTTTTGGTGCCAGGAATCAAACTCATGACCTTGTGCTTGCCAGGCAGCAGTTGTGCCACCACGCTATATCCCCAGCCCTTAAGGTAGAGATTTTGAGTGGACTGTTTGACATGAGGGTTTGCAGAAAAATATCAGAGCTGGATACATAAAACTGTATGCTATTAGCAACTCCGTCTGCTAAATTCCAAGGTCTAAACACTATCTTTCTAGCCTTCATATGACATTATGGGTATCAAAGCAAAATCTGATATTGGACAGTGATACAACTGTCTTTCTCAAATTCTAAAAAGTTACAGTAGTTTCTAATCTTTGAGTTTTCAACCAGCCTATTCTTATCCTTTCAGATTATGACAACTCTGTCCAACGTAGTCTTATTACATTACTAAATGTTCATCTCTAGCCTGTTCATCTCCAATTAAAATCCACCTCATGATTCACCTCGTCCAAGATGGCTTCTGAGATATACTGCTCTTGGACATGATAATTTCATTTGTTTTCTCACCATACAGACTGGCATGTTCTAACATGCAAACATATTGGATTTAAAGTATTTGATTTCAGGTGTTTGAAACATCAAACATAAATTCACACACAAAAATTCATATTATATCTCATATTTGTGAAGCCAAGAGCAGCCCATTCAACCCCTGGGAGGCGTCCTAGACGGTGGGAATCAGACACTGGGGGTCAGGAGTGAGTGAGGACAGTGCGGAACCTTCTGCTGATGCGGGGATAAGGTTCCACTGACAACACCCCTATTGCTTTATTTGGGCAGCAACTTGAGCATAGAAGACATTGTAGTTCTTCTTCTAAATACAATGTTCAGGGGGCTGGGGATTTAGCTCAGCGGCAAAGCACCTGCCTGGCAAGCGCAAGGTCGTGAGTTCGGTTCCCGGTACCAGAGAAAAACCAAAAATAAATAAATAAATAAATAAATAAATAAATAAATACAATGTTCAGAATCATCTAATTTGCCTGAGTCTACTTGCATTACCATTATGGGAAATAAAATCTATGGTTTTTAAATGTAACCCTTACCCAGCATTACAAGACTGGGGAGAACCTCTGGGGCAAAGATAGTAAACGCATGAGGAAAGGCACCTTTGCAAATTTGGTGCAGATGCCAGCGAGACCCCATTCCCCTATAGCATGGGACTTCTAACTCTGAACAAAAGAAGTGGACAAAGCCTTGCTTATGCAGACAATTTAAGGAGCAATTCTATCATCTAATAACCTTAAAATAGCATAACTAGGCGATTATTTTAAAAAGTTTCATGGATTTCAATTGACAGAATAAAAATTGAAGGCCAGCATCATCTATTACCCATCTGTCTAGCTATCTAGCTCTCTAACATCAACTTAAACTGGTGTTTAAATTTGCTATGGAATATTAGGGAAAATTTACTGAACAAGTTTTTGTTTTAAAAAGGACCATTATATCCCATTGGTTATAAATATGTGCTTGTTAACTCTGAAAGAACGATCCTTCATTGAGCAATATCTGGAAGTTATCTATTCATAGTATAATCATGTACCCATTAAATAAGCAGCTGATGTCAATATTAAATTTATATACCATTGTTATTGAAATCATAAAGAAGAGCGTATTCTTACCAGTTGCCTTTGGGATTTATAAACTGCTGCACTGAATAGCCAAACTGTTCACTTGGAGGACCGGAAAATATTTTTGCTTCTGAGAGACCAACATTGTATGCCAAACAACAATTTAAAAAACCTATTAGGAAAAATGAAAACATAATCCATATTTATAATTTGCAAATATAACTGTATAATATAATTGTTGAAGGCCAATTAAAAAACTTTTTGGCCTGATAATTATTCTCATCAGTATTTGAGAAGAATGAATAGCAAGTGTATCTAAGGTACTTATTTGGGGTCCTGGAGTTATGCTAAATGCTTCATATGTATGATTTGTTATCACATCCAACCCACAGAAATCCATCTCCCGTAGAAGATGGGTTATTGCTATTATCTTTATTTGTACAGATTTCTGGGGTTCTAGGAGGTAAGTGTACCAAGCTGGAAAGCATTAAGTAAGGGCAGGATGTGAACACATAACTGGTCAATATTCTGAACCCTCCCACCAATGAACTATCTCTGAGGATTCTTAAGTAACTTGAGTTCTACTTTTCCTTGCTACCACAGTTAGACTCTAAGCCATCCAAGTTCAGAGGCTGAAGGATCCCTTCCCTTTACTCTAGATTCCCTAGTAGATCTTGACATGGTCTCCATATGAAATTTATGTTGAAAAAGGCAGTGATAGCTATATGAAAGGAGGTAGAAAATCAAAGCTCTTTGAAAATTGTGTTATTTTCTTTCAGAAAAGATCATTTTGGAGGATAAAAATGTAGGGAAAGGTGTCACATTTTTTTTTTTTTTATCCCAGGGTAACTATCAAAAGTAGTTTTTCTTTCTGATGCTTCTTTCTGAATTGTCAAAAAAGATAATCATTAGAAAAAATAAAACAAAGACCAAAGAAGATAATGCCTTGGTAGACTTTTTTGAAAATGCTTGTTTCTGATGCAAAAAGAAAGAGGAGAAGGAGTAAGGCGTATCACACGTCCTCTTTGACATTGCTAGCATTAAGGTAGGAGTACCTCATTCTGTTGGAGGGTTTCATGGCTATGAATGCTTCCTGTACAGATAAAAATATTCTGCATGTTGTTTAGGATATGTACTTATCTTTGCAGACCCTGAAGCCAGTGGACTATTTAAAACTGACATCTAAGTTCCATTAATATGTGTTTTTACAAAGGAATGTCCCACTTTCTTGGTAGCACTGAAATCACACAGCACTTCATAAGTCTATTGTTCCAGGCATTGCAAGGCAGAAGAAAATGCCCAGTTATTCACTGTGTCTCCTCAATTCTGGAGGCAGATGCTGAAGAGTGCTCCAAAGGAAAAATAAAGTCAGCCATGAAACATTAGGGATTTAAAGTAGGCAGCATGCCTCTCCAAGTGCCAAATCCACCCTACTGGAGATCTGCTCACTAAGGAAAACTCAGCTCATTATTTGTTAGAATTACGTGCTACCAGTTGGAGAACTACAAATATTAATTTTGAAATAGTTTGAAACTTATATAGCTCAATATTTGCAAATTTTATCCTTAACATCTATTTTTTCATAGGTACCCCTCTTTATTTCTGAGGAGATAAAATGCATAGCAAATTAAATAGAAAACTAGAATTTGCATTCAGAAACCTGGTGATTTCAATCAGCACTATTTGAATATTTATCAGTTGTCAAATATACCAGTAAAGGCTTGAAAAAATGATGTCAAACTGCTCCCATTTTTAAAATATCTAATGCTAACACCAACTCCATTTATAATACAATGGAGCTTTAACCTGCACTGTGTGATTAAGTGCAGGATATTGAGGGACCATGCAAAGACACTCTGTGAGTATGGAGGGAGTCAGTGCAGAAGCAGGACCTACAGAGTGTGCTCAGCAAAGGCAACAAGAAGCCAGCGTTTCCAGTGGCCCTGCCTCACTAAGGGGCAACACTCTAAATTTCTATTTCTAACAGCGGTAGAGGTGACTGTAGGGATGGCAGGTGACATAAGGATCCTTAGAGGAGCGAGTCCAGTATTGTCCCTGTATGACCAGGGTAGTGAAGTCATTTTACCTCATCATTGTCTTGCTTTGTTGGATTATGTTTTTAACAAAAGAAAATGTAATCATTTAAAAAAAACACTCTAGTGCAGGAAAGAATAGATTTGACATAATAAAATGACTTCCATCTCCCACTAATAATTAGTCCTTGGCACATAAGGTAATGGCATGAAATTGTGGCGTTCACTTCATCGTCTAGCAGTTAGATTTTCACCTCAAATTAGTGATGCCTCGCTTAACGACATATGTTTTGAGAAATATGTCATTAGGCAATTTGTTATCATACAAACACTATCGAGTATATCGAAAGAACCTATAATGGCTATGCCATCCCTGGGTGACACAATATTATTGGACCTTCACTGTATATGTGGTCCATTGTTAACCAAATGTCCCCATGCAGTATATAGACAGTATGTGTATATCATTTAATATGCATATATGTTTATTATTATCAGTCTACAGTCTACAAATAAGGAGATGAATTCATTTTATCATCCAGCAGTCTAATTGTATTATATATGCATATATTTGTGCATATATGCAGATACATATGTGTACATGAAGGTATATACATATGCACAATATTATTAACAATGTGAAAGCCATTATTTCATCTCTCTGCTTCAAATACCTCATGGTCTGCTATTGCACTGAAAATAAAAACCAGTTTTCTTCTGACAGTTTCAAAGGTCCTTCATGATCTGGTGCTTGTGTAGCATCCTGATCTCACTTTCCTCTACCCACCTCCTTGCTCACGCTGTTCCAGTCACACTCACTTTCCTTTTGTCCCTTGAACACATCCAATTCATTCTGCTATGGCATTTGTAGCTGCCTGTTTCACTGTCTACCACATTCTCCACCTCAGCAGTTAGCAGCTAGTCACCAGGCGGGTCCTTGACCAAATAGCTCTTGGCTCTGATTTCAGAGAGCTCCTTGACCCCTCTATCTAGGAGCAATACTCTTTCCCTACACTATTATCATAACAGTTATCACCTGATCTTATCTCACATATCTATAATGTTTTGACTCTGTGGGTACCTGCTAAAATCCGAGCTCCTTGAGAGACCAAAAGCAATGTAAATCAAATAAATTGCACGTTGAACTAATATATGTTCCTCAATAATGATCTGGTACCCGGAGAATTTGGGGATGGAAAAGATCACACAGAGACTTATTCGATTAATGGAAGAGCCATTAAATTGGATATATTTCTTTATTGTATTTTTCCCTTTAAATCATAATGAATACCCCAGTTGGTATCTTACTACTTAATACTTGGGAAGCACCCTGACTCTTTTGATATCCAGCATAACCCTGTGCAAGAGTAAACTTTAGCTATTATTGCTACCAATTTACAAATAAGAAAAGTGAAACTCATGAAGGTTAAATGTCTTTCTTGATCACTGTTAAACAACTGGTGTCTGACCTCTGAGTCTTGGCTTAACATTTCCTACTTCATTGTTGAAAATTTCTATTCACAAATGATCCGCTCATTTCCTTACATAACATGTCACTCATCCCCATTCCTTCATTTCATTGATCTTAAATTTCTTCTTTCCTGCTATTTAAATCTCTTTCTCAAAACCCTGTTTTGTTAGTAAAAACTGAATGATCTCAACTTACAGACTTATTTCTCTTAAAAATACATTTACAATACAATGTCCGTATCATTCCACACTTGGCATATGACATCATCTTATATAAATTTAATTCTCTGAGATATAGTACTGTCATCTATGGCCATACCACTCTGAACACGCCCAATACTGTCTGATATATAGTACTATCTACCACAATGTCTGTTTCTTCTTTGTAATCCCAATGGTTACAATATGTTTCTGTGTCTTTTGTCAAAACCTAAATGGGTTATACAGAGACTAAGAAATGTATTTTGTTCATCTCATTTCCTCCATTCCATCTATGCCCACATTTCTATAAATACTAACAAATAAACCGTACAATAAACATAGATCCTTTATGTAAGCAATTTTTCTGTGTCCTGAGGATACAGCAAATGACAAAATGGACAATACCCCTACTCATTCTGCTGACTTGACTAAAAGGCAAATTATAGCTTAATATGTTGTATAAAAAATATAACATTCTGATCTGAGTCAAAAGTTTAAATGGAGGTAAATTTGGTTGAAGCCTTCACAGAAGATATGGAAATTGATCTGGATCTTGAAGGATAAGTTGGAATTCACAACCTTAGAGGGAGGCAAAACTCATTCCAGGGCCAACGAACTTCACATTCCACAGGGGTAGAGGACAGTATAGGAATGGTGAAACATTTGGCCTAGAATATTGCCAATCACTTCATTAATGTAACTATTTCCAAATTTATATTAGGTACAATGAGTCTCAAACATATTTGAGCTTAGCCCACCGGGGAATGTATTATTAACCAGAATGTAAATCTTCCCTCTCTATCCTTGAGTGATGCATTTGAGTGCAATAATAGCATAGCAAGCTCAAAGTATTTATCAAAGGTGACCTTGTAACACATTTGTTGACAGTAACCAGGTCAGAGTATTCCAGTAAATTTCATCAAAACATAACACAAATATAAACACTGTGTCTCCTGGAGTATTAATTAGTTCCTTCTACTTTCACAACAAAAAGTAAATACCATTTCATCCTTGACTTTAAATTGGCTTTTTGCCATTTTAATAACCACACTCAAGCCACAGTCAAGCACAAATTAATTTATACAGATTTCTTTCACTCATTTAAAAAATTTTAATGAGAATATAAAAATGATATTCAGAATAGAAGAAAAATATAAAAAGTATCAACACAGCAAGAAGCACAATTGTGAGTGTATTTTATTTTGCTGCTCTCAAAATCTCCCTTAGTGCATTACAATATACACACAATAAATCAGAATCAAAATACAAATAAGTAACAAAAAAAAACCAAAAAGCTAATTACTTCTGTTATCTAGACTAGCAGGACTACACACATGACTTCAACTTCACTTGCAGTGTCTCATCTTTTTTTTTGTTTGGTTGGTTGGTTTTTTTTGGTTTTTCTCCAGTACCGGGAACCGAACTCATGACCTTGCGCTGTCTCATCTTATTATCACACCCATAAAGA